GAGTTCGTTCTGGGACTGTATCAGTCGCTGGGGCGGCTCGCGGAAGCGCACTCTTACTCCTTTCCTGGATGGCGTTCGGCGGTTGGCATGGTACGAAAAGGGTAAATACACAGTAAGTGAAGGGAGTGAACTCTATAAAATTCAATCCGGTGCCAGTGACTGCTTGTTGTTGGTTAGTTGGTAATCTCCATCACCTCCGCCTTCTCTATGTCCACTTGAAGTTTTGTCTTCGCTGCCTACTTCTTCAGCCAGTTCATTGCTTTTCGCTTCCCTGCTAGTCTTCAGCTTCGTGTAAAATTAGACATAAATCATCCACCCACGAAATCCAAATCTTCTAGAGTCTTCTTATCGGTAGTCCAGAGAATTCCTGTCTTCTCACTCCCTATGCACAATCTGACGTACAGTTGAGTCCACCACATTTAGGAATATCAATGGCGAGAATAGGCATTCATTTCAACTAAAGGCCTCACTGAGTTTTCCGTTGTGGATCACCTGACACGTGTCATTGTTATATGACCGTTAAATGAGGTTGATAGAGATTTGGGGTACTGCACCCCATAGTGTTGAAGTAGTTTCCAAATTGCTTCACAGCCAACGCCGTTGAAGGCCTTCTCGAAGTCGATGAAGTTGAGATAGGGAGAGGTTTGACTGCCATTTTATGCTTTTTTGTGTGATGACGATGCGTTGAGGTGCAATCCGATCAACACATAATTTTGATCTCCTAAATCCATCTTGTACCACGTCGAGTTCTCCATACATTGCTCCCTTTATTCTCTCCAGGATGGTACGACTTACTGTTTTACTTGGAGTGGACAAGAGCACCACTCCACTCCAGTTCTTTCAGAGTGAGGCGTAATTCGCCCTTCTTTGATAGTTTCACAAGGTAGCCTTCCTTGCAATCATTTGGTACCCCTCCTTCCTTCCAAACTTTTTTGCAATAGTAGCATTAGCACATCCACTAAGATCTCTGGAGTGAAGTAAATTCCTCAATATTATTATTATTATTACCATACTATATCATTAACAAGAAATTAATTCACTTCTTCATCAGTTAATATAATAAACAACTTGATTTCAACATATATTGTAATCAGTCATCCATGATTAGTATTCATCTTACGCTAGAGTGATTATTGACATATTTTTAATATGCTACGATATTAGGCCTTAATGATCAACAAAAGTAACTTTATGAAACGTTTAATCGACATATGGGTTGTACATAGCCAACCACCTTCCGTCTCCTACCACTAATGATTATTATTATTGTTCCCTCGGGTTCCCAGTGGAACATAGGGCTTCAACTGCACGTCTCTACTTGCTTCTGTCTCCTGCTGTACTTTTCACTTGCATCCATGTTAACCCATACTGTTTCAACTCCTCTTTACACGATCTCCTCCATGTCACTCTTGGACGTCCAACTCGCCGCTTCCCTTTCGGGTTCCACTCGACGGCCTGAAGCGCGATGTCACCCAGTGGCCTCCGCAGCGAGTGTCCAATCCATCTCCACTTTCTCCTGCATATCTGTTGGGTGATTGGTTCTTGTTTTGTTTGTTCCCATAGTTTCTTGTTGGTTCTTGTTCTTTCTGGCCATCTGATCTTCAGTATAAAGCGAAGACAGCTGTTGATAATGGTCTGCAACCTGTTGGAATTATTCTTGGTGACCCGCCAAGCTTGTGGTCCTTCCGTATAGAAGAACTGACTTGACGTTTGCACTGAAGATCCGAATTTTGTTGTTGATGCTCAGTTTAGTGACAATGATTTCCAGATTGGTTTCAGGTTGATGAATGTGTTTCTCGCCTTCCCGATTCTCGATTTGACATCTTCGTCCGTTCGTCCTGTAGTTGAGACAATGCTCCCTAGATAAGTGAATGAAGTAACGTCTTTCAAATCCCTCCCGTTGATGGTGATTGGCACTGGATGTTGCTGCTGTTGTTGTTGGTTATTTTCATAACCTCCGCCTTGTCTATGTTCACCTGCAGTCCTGTCTTCTCTGGCTGTTTCTTCGACCAGTTTGTCGGTCGGTTTTCGCTTGTAAGTCTTCGATTTTGTGTGACATCAAACATAAATCATCCACGCGCGAAATGCAGGTCTTCTAGGTTCTTCACGTCGGTCCAGGATATCCCTGTCTTCTCGTTTCCCACTGTCTGACGCATAATCCAGTCCACCACAATTAGGAATATCATTGGTGATAATAAGCACCCTTGTCTGACTCCTGTGTTTACTCCAAACGCTTCGCTGAGTTTTCCGTTGTGGATCACTTGACATGTGCCGTTGTCGTACAGTTGTTGAATAAGGTTGATGAATATTTAAGGTACGCCGTAGTACTCGAGTAATTTCCAAATTACATCGCGGTCAACGCTGTCGAAGGCCTTCTCAAAGTCTATGAAGGAAGTTGAGGTAGAGGTTTGATTGACATTCCATACTTTGTTCGATGATGATGCGTAGAGTTGCAATTCGGTTAGAACATGATTTGCCTTTCCTGAACCCAGCTTGTTCTGGTAAGAGTTCTGCATCCAGTGCGTCCTTTATTCTCTCCAGGATGATGCGACTCAGGATTTTACTTGACGTCGACAGGAGCATGATTCCTCGCATAAAATTTCGTTAAATAAAGGATAAAAATTGATGAAGACAATGAGATGGGCTGATTGAGCGTATGAAATTTTTGTGATATTGTCTGAATATGTTTGAATACCCTTTGTGATGTGATTTGAAATCAATCACGATAATGTAGATCTGTTTTCCCTTCTCATCATCCTGAATACTTTTGAATGATCTCGATCCAAGCATTTTCTCTTCTGGTATACCCTCTTTTATTCTTTGTGTGTAAATACTCTCAGCCTCTTCATAGTCAACTCTTTCGATAGACAACAGTTGGAAAAGACAAGTTTCCTGTATCCTGTAATGTAAGTGTAGAAGTTGGACACCATGGTAGAATGTAATTCCATATTAGATAAGGTTATTTTAAATACCACACAGTGATGATACAGTAATAACAATCATATCACTTTTAATTGGTGGATGATGACTAGCAGTGGAATCATGGATAACGCGCACTTCGTCCTACTTGGGACTCGTCAGCTAGCTGGATGTACTTGCATTCCTCGGTGAGTGATGTTCCCACCCAGGCTCGAACCCAGTACCAGCATTCTTTCAAACGCCAAAGCGTTATCCACTAGACCACTTGGGCCACGAGAGCCACCATCCACCAATTAACTTCTAGTTACATGCCCAGACATCGTCGAAACACCTGCATAAGAAGCCAACAGACATGTCAACCTGAGACTGAACACTTCGGTCCAATCAATCGACGCGAAAATCTAAATTTCAATTTTAGTCACACGGTTTCACAACTTGTCATATATATATATATATATATATATATATATATATATATCCAATCAAGTTCTTCCTTTGGTACAGACTGAATTCCATCAGTCAAGTTTGCAATGTGGCAACTATGCCACTAGGTGGCTTGCCATCACAATGCGCATTGTACTGTAAATTGTCGATATTAGATGGTTGGACATTTGTTCAAAAAAAACACAACCTTTGTAAATAGCTCATGCTTAAAGGACTCCAAAGTTAACAATCTATGAATGTTGCCTATTAGTAATTCATACGCAATTTGTGTACAAGTAGGAATGGCTTTGAGGACATAGTATTGATGAGAACTTTCTTCAGTTACAGAATATACTGTTTATTCTTAGATGATTACAGGCAATCTGTAGAAAGCCTTCGACCTAGGTTTCGTGCTTGTGAATTCTCATCAGCATGCAAGGTATATCTCCAATCTTGAAGGAACCCAGCTCACTTCATCTAGTGTTGCAGTCAGAGACAAGACCCAGCTCCGAATCTCAGAAGGGAAATGAGTTCCTTCAAGGTTGCAGATACTCCTTACTGACTGGTGAATGCCAGCTAACATGAAACCTAGGTCCAAGGCTTCCTTCAGATTGCTTCCAACCATCTGATATCAATAATTCAAAGTGCAGTACACCATGATGGCGAGCCACCTAGCACGGTGACCAAATTGCAAACCTTACTGACTGACAGAATTCAGTCTGCACAAAAACAAAGGACTAGATATATGACACTAGTTACTAGCTAGTATCCAATCAAAGTACCTCTTATGTATCGATTAGTATTGCCAACTATGTGATTATGAAAACTCATCCATCACTTTTGTTACTATCCTCTTTTGTGCGACAAAAACTGTCAAGTGTTGGTTTGCAGCAATTCGATTGGTTACAGGTTTGGTGACGAGCTGATATCAGTTAGAGAACCACTGGAATGATGTACAAGCTCATCTTGTAACCGAAAGGCACCAGATTCGAACGCTGGTACTGGGTGGGTACTGATGAAGAGTCCCAAACTAGGGCGAAACGACTGAACCTCTAAAAACGTTGTATATCAAAATTTGATTGTACAGCTAGCTAATGAGAAATAAGGAATTCACCAAGAAAACAGCTTTCTTCGCCGAAGAACAACTACCTGTTTTCTGCTCTTTTCATTCATACTTGGAAAGCGGAATTATTCATGAATTATAAAGTCAACTGTGAAGGAAAGATCTTTTTTAAAACTTTATGATTGATGATTGTACAGCCTAATTGTTTTTAAAAAAACATACAAATTTATTAACAAAGAAAAGAAGACAGACAAAAAAGCGGTCTGTCGTGATCAGCACACACTGCTGCTTTCGTCACCATATAGTACGTATATCTTGTCGTAAAATGGAAAGGATAGAGTCTATATGTGTAGCGTAGAATATCACATCACAAATGACAACAGTGATTACATAAAGCGCATGAGAAGATAAAAACAATATTCTGAATGCGGGGAAAAGAGATATGTGCACAGAGACTGCCAAAAGCACGGTGAAATGAGGAAAAATGAAGACAATGTATGTATATACAAGACAACTGTGTGTGAGTGTGTCGGGGGGTGTAAAAGGAGAGGCTAGGATGAGCACATGTGAAGAACATTAATTAATAGTCATTAGGCTACATTAACATGTCTGCAAAGTATTCGTCGAATTCATCATCCGGTGTCTTGACAATCCCCGATGTACTGCTGCTATTGCCGGCGCCACCGGGATTTCCACTTCCTTGTGATGTTTGCGCTGATTTACACCATACTGAATTGATATCAGTAGTATCTGAGGTGTTTTTACTGTCGGAATTATTATTATCTTCGTTGTTTTGGTCACTGGAATTACGTGGACGTTTCGCTGCAGATTCCTTATGATCATCATCATCATCACCGCTTCTATCTTGTTGACGATTACTTTCAGCATCATTTTCCTCCTGCTCAGAGCTGATTCGTTTCCCAGTAACATCACGTCTTCTGTAAGGGAGAAAAGAGGAAAAGCACCCGGAGAATAATCTCAGTTTTTAAGTATGACTGTCGGTAGAAAATATACAACAATTCCCACCGAACATTTTTGACGTTATTCATCAGATGTATGACAATGTCATATGTCAAACGATTCACGAAGGAAAACTCAGTGCAGCCTTTGAAGTGAAGTGACAGGAGTGCAAGAAAAGACTGCCATTTACTATCACCAGTGATACTCCTAATTGTGGTCGACTGAATCATGCAGCAGAACGTACATGAGGATAGAGAAGACTGGCGGCAAACGTTGGATCGATAAGAAGACTCTAGACGACCTAGAGTCACAAGCGAAAACTAGCAAATTAACCGAATTAAGCAGGCAATGAAACCAGGACTTCAACTGAGCATAAGGGAGACAAAGGTAGGAAGGATGCCCAACGAACAACCCCACAAATAGAGAGCATCAGTCACCATCAATGGAATAAACTTAAAAGAGTTCACTCAACTTCAACTTGACGCGTCACGAATTAGGATGTCAAACTCAACCACGGTCCGGTTACTAAGACAAACCTTCATTACTCTCAAATAATCAGTGTGGAAATCTGTTGCAGTCAGCATTAAAAAAACAAAATTCGAATTTTCAACAGCGATGTTAAGTCAGTCAATTCTTCTGCAATGATCAGACACTTGGTATGTCACGCAGAACATTTACAATAGCCAGCTGTAAACTTCCACTAATAGCTGCTCTCTTCGCTGGCTCCACACTGAGAATCAGATGGCTGGCCAGAAAGAATTATCAACAGGAAACTATGGGATAAGAAAACAACAGTTGAAAACTGGGTGGCTACTTAAGGCAACCACTGGCTTCCATCTGGGCGTCCGGATAGTATCCCAGCCCTTGGACAAATAATGACACTTTGTCTTATGCATCTTTTGGTGCCAAGATTTGTGCCCGAAGTTTTCAGGGAACTGCATTTTATCAGCGTTTTCACCTTGTAGGACATTATCATGCGCATACGCTTAAGCCAACAAGACTGTCGCCTCGTAACAACAACAAGTCAACACCCCTAGCTCGCTAAAGTCAATTAAGGCTTTATTCCATGAGTACATCTATGATGAAACTAAAAAAACATGATCTACTAATTATTGAATAATCATTGAAGAATTAAGGAATTGTTAATATTGGTTCAAATACATACACAACAGATATGCACACACTGCTAACTCAAGTTTTATACAAATGTGTCACTAAAAAATTAAACAGAACAATTTAACTACTTGTTAGTAGTACAATTCATTTAAACGAATATTTTAAATATTTCACTAGAAGCCAACGTTAGACAGAGTATTATCAACAAGCATTTTATGTGTTACATTCGCTTCAGTTTAGAGTTTCATAGCAATACCAAATTATGATCTCCTTAGAAGTCGAACACTGCACCCTCAGGTCAAGAGGTGAATATCCCTCCCATTGAACCACTACATCGATATAGGTCATGATTTCCGAATTTAAAGGACCCGTGAAGTTAACGCCATTATCTTGCAATGACATTGAGGACCAGCAGAATCCACCTTGTCATAAATAAAAACTGATACTCAAGGAGAATGTTAGGAGACAGTAGAGCCAAAAGAGGAATTCGTGGAAGTTAATGTTCCAGGCCAACAGCTGGTTGAAAGCGTTATTAACTCGTATTAACCGTGAGTCCCATTTTTTCGGAGAAAAACTACAGGCGTGCACTTCTGTTATCTCAAACCAAAATAAAACGGATACTTAGTGATCCATGACCTGAAACAGTTTGCTCGATAATTTTGTTTTGCGGTGAAATATACCTTGAAATAAATCAAATGCTTAGTACTAATAAACACTGTTTCATTTCTTTTGCGTTCCTATTGGAGCAATGGGTTTTAGGCATGAACTTTGAAGTCTCGCCAGCGATGGGGTTTTGTCTATTCACGGTGTACTAACCTCATACCCATGCTGGTTACTCGTTAAGCAAGGTTTAGCAGTGCGTCACACAGGAGAGAAATAGAACCCGACCCATTTGAATGCCTGGCGAGTAGTGATTCTACCACTGAACGAACCACTGGGGCATTTTTTTATATTCCTTTACCTTCCGAGTGGAACATAGGGCTTCAAGGTAGTGCTTTGAAGTTTCAGCAGCAGTGGTATTCGAGAAGACAGAACACAGTCACCTATGATCAAAGACAGCTGGCTAGGCGTTTCATGTCTGCCATTCTTAATGGCCAGGCCTCACAGCCATAAAGGAGGACGGAGCGGACTGCTAGCCAATACACACACCCTTTGGTCGACTACCAGTCGGATATCTCGTCTATGCCAAAGACGGCGTAAACTGGCATGTGCGGAACTAGCCTTCTTTAACCCTACTGAGATTTCGTCAGTGATCAACCCGTTGGTATTGGCTGATGCAACTTCTCAAATAAGTGAAACGGTCAACACGCTCCATTAACCACTTCACTCCCTATTTCTAAGCTAGGAGTCAATGTAAATAGATGATTGACTGTCCGGGTTAGCTCAATTCAAATTTCTTAAGCCAAATCCCATCAGAATGGAGCAGAGTACAAGAAGAGTAACCCAAACAACAAGAATAACCAACCGAAAAACAAACAAAGTACCAATGTGGTGAGAACTGTCAAAATTGGTAAACAGCAATTTACGTCAATATTTGCGTCCCATATCTTGGTGATGAGAAAAACAAGAACAAAGACTTTGCGTGGGCGGATACAATTCGCAGACAGATGATCTGACCATCAAAGAAACAGCCACAAAGAGATGACAGATTAACTTTCAGGCAGAAAACAACCAATCAGAAGACTCTGTGTTGTCTGCTAGCAATAACCTATAATAATGTACATAAAAATATACATTTATATCTCTTGATTTTCTCAATAAACGATCTGTTACCTAGCCCTTGTCTTCTGTTGTTACATCAACAGTTAAACGTCCAAAGGTCAAGGTAAATATGTTCGGTAGATGGTGACTAACAATGAAATCTAGGATGAGAATATCCTTCTTTATATGGTACTCTCCAGGAGGATCCACTTGGTATCCCCAGCGGGTGAGTGAGTAACGGTGCTCCCATCGAGACTCGAACCCACTAGACCCAAGTAGTGGACAACCAAATTACCTCAGTGTTAATCCTCAAACATCGCCGAAGCATCCGCACTGATCAAGGCACTCTGCTCGAATTCATGCAGCCAGCCAGGTGAGGGCTTATGGCGAGTTGTCATCTGAAGTAGTGACGACTAGTGGTGTCCATCAGGGATGCCCACTATCCCCATTTCTATTCAATTTCATCATAGATGTACTAATGGATTTAACCCTAACTCACTTCAGAGACTCAGGGATTGACTTGCTACCAGGGAACAATCTCGTTGACTTAGAATATACAGACGATATAGTCCTTCTAGGCGAGGACGCTGACAAAATGCAGAGTCTTCTAAACAGCTTCAGCTGCAATCTACGAATGTTTGGCATGCAATTCGCTCCCGCCAAATGTAAGATGATGTTGCAAGACTGGACTACACTGACTCCCTAGATTAGAAATAGGAAGTGAAGTGGTAGAGCACGTTAACCGCTTCACTTACTTGGGAAGTACCATCAGCCCCAACGGGTTGATCTCTGACGAAATCTCAGTACGAATACAGAGGGCTAGTTTCGCATATGCCAGTTTACGCCGTCTCTGGCATGGATGTGATATCCAGCTAGATATCGACCAAAGGGCGTGTGTACCGCTCAGCAGTGTGGCTGTGAGACCTAGCCACTGAGATTGGAAGACATGAAACGCCTAGCTCACTGTCTTTGATCACAGGTGTCTGGGTTCTATCTCCCGTGTGGAATGGTATAGTAGGGTGGGAGATATTGAAGTTAGGCATCGAGTGCTAGGTAAGGAGGGGAAATCAAAACACGAGGCTGTGAAATTACATCGACTGAGATGGTTACGACATGTGTTACGCATGCCTAGCCAACGATCGCCTTCCTCGACAGGAATTGTTAGCTGACATGGGGTCAGGCTGGAAAAGAGCTAGTGGTGGTCAAACTAAAACATGGCTTCATCAGTCAATGAAATCCACAACATTTGGTTTAAACCAGCCACGTAGGAAGGTGCAGACTTCCCGGTTGGAGTCGTCGGGATGGTAAAAGCCAATGGCTGGAGACAATTGGTGACTGGCGCATATGCATCCACTCCTTGTGATTTCTAATGAAACTATATTGTTCTTCGTGATTGTTATTCCTTTGTCTCACACCTCTGTTTACTGTCTCTATTATGCATTTCTTCTACTTTCTTCTCTTGCTTTGTGTGCTATATGGGAGGAGTGTGGCGACTTCAACTGCTGCACATCGGTGGAAAGTTCTGTGTCGAAAACAGACAGAAGCATCCGCACTGTATATTATAATGTAAAGGTGCTCAAAATGATTATTTCAACTGAAACTGAAAAAATGACTTGACAGTGGTTCACCCTTATATTATGATTATTTCTCAAAAACAAAAACAGCAACGAACAGATCTCTAAACGAGAGACTTACTTATACCGATAGTTCAATTTATCAGAACATGCGGGGCATAAACGTACTTTCACCAAAGCATTACGTCGTTCCCCGCGTTCTTGATAGACAAAATTCACTTCCCAACTCCGTAGACGTTCTGCACCAGCTGGACAGGCTACATTTCCACAAGCGAATTGGCCTAAAAATATATAAGTGTATGTAAAATATTTAATGAGAATATTGTTGACAGACAAACAAACATCAAAGTTGCGACTGTTGATAATCACCGCCAGAAGTACTTGGTATTAAGTGTAAGCTAGATTCATTTTATGCCTACAGGATAGAGACTTTAATTTAATGTACAGTACAATGCATAGCCTTAACTCAGCGGCGGCAGTGTTACTCAAAAAAGTTACGGGGTGAATCCGAACCGTCTGGAGCCTACAACCAGACTGGTGGACATCCAGGTGTCCACGTCTACACAGCGGAGATGGAAAACCGCGATTGACAACCTATGTGGCGTACATAGGTTCCAGAATCAGAAAGGATTAAATGGTATGTGAACCAGTTTCGGTCACTAGAAACTATAGAAATGCGGCTCATGAGGCTGCTTCCACTGCCTTGTGTCATGATCAAAGCTTCAAATCAAAGGCTCGAGGGGATCATGACCTCTTATTGAGACAACCACCTACCTCGGGCTCAGGAATTACTCCATCTTCCACACAAACTTATGAGATTATGTGTTGTGCGTCTCTTGGTGCCCATAATGTACCAATTTAGAGTGATTTAATAACTAAACAAACATAATTTAAGTAGTAAAGTACAATCCTAACTAAGTAGATTTATTTACTTCATTGGTTCTTACCATCTTGAGGAACCCAACCAGTCAGGAAGTGGGCGGCTTAAACTAACTGTTACGGATTTGATTGACTGATGAAGCCATGTTTTGGTTTGACCACCACTGGCTTTTTTCTAACCTGACCCTATGTCAGCTAACATTGCCCATTGTCGAGGAAGGCGATGGCTAGAGATGCATACGTAACACATGTCCTAACCATCTCAATCGGTGTAACTTCATAGCCTCGTCGACTGATTTCCCCTCCTTACCTCACTAACACTCGACGCCTAACCCCAATATTGCTCACCCTGCTAAAGCACTTCACACGAGAGATAGAACGCAGGCACCTATGATCAAAGATAGCTAGCCATTTCATGTCTTCCACTTTCAATGGCCAGCTTTCACAACCATACAGGAGGACGAAGCGAAATGCTTTTCTAAGCAGTACACACATCCTTTGATCGCCAACCAGCCGGATATCACGTCTACTCCAGAAATGGTGTAAGTTGGCGGGCAAAAACCAAACAAGCCTTCCGCATGACGTAACGCTGCCTGACTACTCAAACCTCAGTTAGTGAAGCGGTTCCCCCCTGCTGTAACCTCTACTAGTTGATAGTCTATAACTCAAATTAGTGGATCCAATGTCCCACAAGTCAGTAAGTGATAGATACATGTGGTATAGTGCATCGGTGATTCAGCGGTGGAATGCTCGCCACCTACGCCACACATGGTCCGGGTTCGACCCCCAGCCAAAAAAACTTCCAAAACCTCGCTTAACCGGTAGTAAGTTGGGTAAAGAGGAAAGGTTGGGCTAGGTGAGGCTAGCGACCGCACCCTGTAAAGAAACACCTCTACTGAAATTCCAATTCCTCAAGCCTGAAGCTCTATATTCCACTAGAGACGAAAAGGAATGTATAAATATGTAGTTTTGTAAGACATACCTTTACCAGAAATCACTTCTTTTTCTAATCGCCATCTCATACCAAACTGAAAATAAAATTTTTAAAAATGTAAACAATCAAGTAAGTAATTATGTTGAAAGAGTTGCTAATTTCTTCAAAACTAAAAAAACGTGGATTATTTCAAGTTATCTGAATTATTTATACATCCTATCAGATCTAAGCAACTCTAAAAGTCACTAATATAATTACCAACAATAATTTTCATTGAGGGCTATTTAGATACTTTGTAAGACGACGGGAGTGATGGGGGTGAAGATGAAAGATGGTTAGGAAAGCTTTGTGTGCCTATAGAAGTGTGTGAGTGGTTACCACTTGCCGACTGCTCACACTACAAAAGTTGACTCGTTCTTGGGTCATCTAAAAACAGAAGAAACAGATCTCGGAGGACAACTACTTCAGACTGGCCACACACGGACTGTTTGAAGTGGCTTTTGGAGTTATGCCCGTATTGAAATCTTACCGGCGGCTACAGACCGCCGCAAGGTAAGTCAGGATATATAATTTTCGGTGTAGACTTTTTCTAACTACCCCCGCTCTCGTGGGAAAGGGAAGAAAGAAAGAAATTGAAGCGCTTTCGCCATTGATTGCTATTTTTGGCCATATCCGATAACATTTCGAGCCAACGTCTCTCGGACCTAAACCAGGGGAGTCATGATGCGCCAACTGATGCAAACTTAACACAAATATCCTTCATCCCACGACACCACCTCTTCGCTTTTTCCGTCCCGTCCCAGAGCTGGGTAACGAACACAGACCTGTACGGAAGCCTCTGGGACGACATTAGTAGGACATGTCCAAACCACCTAAGCCAGTGTTTCCAGATGACGAGACTCAATGAATGGTGATCTCTACTGTGTCCAAACGCATGCCGCCGGAACTCACAATTACTCACACGATGATGTCATCGAACGCAAGAAATCCTGCGGAGACAGCGATGATAGAACAAGCAGAGTCGCCGCACACCCTAAGCTCGGAGAGGCCAGTTCTCACAGGCGTAGAGCAAGACAAGCCGCAACAAAGCATTGTAAACCCGACCTTTGATAGCCAGGCTAACGTCGCGACATCGCCAGAGGTGGCTCAAGTTGGCGTATGCCACCCTAGTCTTCATGATACGGTTGGAAATCTCATCTGTCACCCCTTCGCCAGCACCTACACAACTACCCAGATACACGAACTTATCGACAACTTCAAGCGGTTCACCCACCAGAGTTAGTGCAGGAGCATGCTCTTGCCAATCTTGTAACAGTACTTTGCGCTCAGACGGCGCAAATAACATACCAAGATGTTTACATACACATAAACCAATGCAATAAAGATTACTACATAATAATATTAGATGTTATTTTGATAACGTCAGCTGATCTGTTGATCTACCAAGATTATCGAACTTCAAAGTGAAAACGATGTTTATCAACTATTCAATTTGATCATAATGGCTTATTTTATCTTTTGAAATCCTATCGCTTTACATTACAGTGCGACTAACAGGTAGTCTCGTGTGTAACTCCATTGTTTTTTCTTTGCTGAAGAGACAGCCAAGACAGGACTGCATCTCAACACAAAGAAGACGAAGGTGATGAAGATAACCAACGAAAAGCAACATCAACAACCAGCACCAATCACCATCAAAGGGGGAGATTTAACGGAGGTTACCGCGTTCATTTATCCAGACAGGAAGCGTTTCAACTACAGACGGAACGGACGAAGATGTTAAAGTCAGTTAGAATCGGAAAGGCAAGATACACCTTCATCAACCTGAAATCAGTTTGGAAATCTTGTGCACTCCCTCAACCAGCATAAAGAACAAGATTCGGATTTTCAACACCAATTTCAAGTCGGTCCTTCTATATGGACCGCATCTCGAAAAGACAGCTTCGGTACCAAAGAAAGCTATCTTTATTAACCTACCATTCAAGGGTGACCAGATTATGCAGTTGACAGCTCAAAGACTTTGGTCAGCCATCAAACGCACATTCTACGCCGCATCTCTTTTTCTCACGTGCCGAACATTTTCGATCTCTGTACCTACGATTAAAGCACGAAATTCTGTGGACTCTACTTCAAACTGCATCTACAAGTTCACCTACAGCTGCGGTGACACCTATATAGGTAGAACCAACAGAATGTTCCAATGTCGTCGGAAAGAACATGTTCCAAAATGGCTATTAAATCATATTGAAAATCCCAATGCCAGTAATCTGAATAGAAATCCAGCGTCATCCATTGCAAAACACTTATTAATGTCAGGTCACAAAATCAATATTAATGACTGTTTTACAACTATTTCACACAACTCTAATTCAAGGTTACTGAAGGTGATGGAGGCACTTTGGATTGATCACATACAGCCTAAACTGTGTGTACAAAAATCAATAGACTTCAATCTTCGCCTACCCTGGACTACTTGACCAATCTAAACATGATTGGTCATTACTATGTACTTCTGTTTTTATTTAACTGAGTAATTGTCATGAACTTTATTTTATTATTGTTAACCATGTTAGTTGTAAAGCGGTTGTAAAGAAACTACGAAATGATATCATCTCGCGAAATTTGTCTTCTTAATGCCTTATTCAAATTTATCAAAGGGACTAATTGTTTTAACCTTCTATATGGGTCAGAAACTTGGCCAGCGTGTCACGAAAAGGATTTCCAACAGCCTGTTGCAGACTTTTACCAACAGCTGCCCACTTCGCTGGCTCCATACTGAAGATCAAATGGCCGGCCAGAAAGAATAAGCAACAAGAAACTCTGGGAACAAACTAATCAAGAGCCGGTCACTCAACAAATATGGAGGAGAATAAGGAGGTGGATCGGGCATACATTGAGGAAACCGTCGAATGACATCGTGCGCAATGCAGGCCATCGCTAGAGTCCTAGGGTGATATGGAGGAGTTGTGAGATTATGGGGAATCGTGAACCCAGCTGACCAGAATGGCAGAAAATAGAACAAAGTGAAGACGTGTTGTTGAAGCCCTGTGTTCCACCCGAAACTCAAGAGAACAACAATAATAATTATAATACTTTCTCTTCGTTAAATGATCTCCTGAGAGGTCACAAAGTGACTTCAGTTAGAGAACCATTGGAAACCAGGGAGTAGGGGGACAGGCAACATAATCATGTATGGGATCGGACCCAAGACCTCCCCATGTTATGAAGTCACCTGGTTGAACATTCCAAATACTGGAATGTAATCCAATGATGCATGAATTCTATCCAACGAGCTGTATGCTTTAAAGTTGAATAACAAATCTCTGTGACACATATTTCGACTTGACATTGGTTATATTATTTACATGAAAGAATATCAGACAAAAGATACACATACAAAAGCTAATTCAATGCACCAATATCTCCTTTTGGTTATATCAAAAGAAAAGTATGTATGTATATACATATGTTTATGGTTAAAACGTACTTTATTTTCCTTGTAACGTGACAAATCGACAAGACAGTATTCTTTAAATAATTTTTCCCAATACTTCTTAGCAAGACGTTCAGACCTATGAGGAGGAGGAGGAGGAGGAAATCGTTAAAAGAATAAGGTAGAACACAAGTCACACAGAAAGCCATTAGAAACCATCACTATCCTATTATGTACAACCACTTAATATTTCAATAGCATTATTATTATTACTACTAGAAACAGACTTGCTACATTATGTGCATCGAGAAATGTGCTGCACAAAAATAAAATATCAGTATCCAAGGAAAATGGGGACAATCTCACCCAGGTGGTCGTGATGTATCGACGGATGTTAACCTAACACATTTATTTGTCGCTCTATGGCACTACGTCATAGGCCGACAAACTCTCCATTCAGTCTTAGAGTTAGAGAACAGTGGGTGGTGTGGAAGCCGCTAAGACAACATTCGTAGCACATGTCCAAGCCACAGAAGCCGGTGTTCCAAGATGACCAACCTCAATTAAAATGTGACCACCACAGTGTCCAAGCACACATTGCAAGCCAAGGCCTTGGAATTACTTACACAATGATACCATCGGGACACAGCGACGAATGGGTAGGCAGAGTTGCCATACATCCTCAGCTCGGAATGGCCATGGCTTCAAAAGCGTATTGCAAGACTATAACCACTGAGGCATGGTAAGCCCAACCTTTGACAGTCAGGCGGATGTTGAAACAGAGCCAGAGGTGCCCGAAATCGGCGTACGTCAAACTAGCTTTCACCATACGGTTAGAGATTTCATCTGCCATACACACTCCTCGCCAGCACCCAAATAACTGCCTAGATTACATGAACTTGCCGACAACGTTGCCTGCTAAGATGAGGCTCCCGCCAATTTAACTAGTCAGTATTCATCTACACAAGTTTAATTAAATCGTAATTAAGTTATAAAGTCTATTACACATGTACAGTCACCAGTATAAACTACTGTAAAATTTCAAAAAAGATTTAATACTGCATATTTTCACACGGACAACTACTAACTGACGTTGAGAGTGACTATGCTGGCCACCTATTCGATTGTTAATTATGATAAGCTTTTATACAATAATGGCTGAGTGGACAACGAGCTTGCCTTGTAACCGGAAGGCCTTGGGTTCGAACCCCGGTGGCTGTGTACTGCCAATGAGTTCCGAACTAGGATAAGACAATCTGATCACCTTCAAAATAATCTGCATCCGCTTAAAGCATATATAACTGAAACTTTACTCTTCGTGATATGTTTCCATAATCTCCAGTTACACACACACACACACACACCCAACCGACTGCTATTCGAACGAAGTAAGGAATGAGTTCTATGAAAAGTTGTCTAGTTTGCTTCTGAGAGCAAATACCCAGACATAGTCGTTCTAGCAGGCGGTTTCAATGCTCAAGTAGGCTAGATGTGCCAGTATATTAGCGGTATCTACGGAATTCCATGCAGACGAACCGATAACGGTCATTGTCTTCTACAATTCTGTTCAGATAATCACCTCTTTCTGGTCGGCACTATTTTCAAACATAAGGAGTGACACCGCCTTACCTGGCGATCTACACTACCAAATCAACGATGGACTAAAATAAACACCACAGAGATAAGCTGTCGCTGGAGGGTCTGTAAGAGACAATCGATCCTTCTGAAACAACACTTGTGTAGACTCCGAGCACGACTTACTCCGTGCAAGTAGACGCCCACTATTGAACGAACACAAAAGATAGACAACAATAAAACCGATATGCCCCTAACTTGACCAGGGCAATGGGTTCCTTTTCAACGAAGAATTAGCTATCAAGTATATGAAACAGACTGCCATGCGTATTTTGAGGGAGCTACCAAACTCTCGTGTTTTTCCATGCTATCAATTTATCTCCTACACATTTGTGTCCATCATAGTTCTTTTGAACCTCTCTTTTATTCTTGCTTTTGGCTGCCTCTGTGTGCTACATGCAGTCTGGTAACTTGGACTGCTGCACTTATGTGCTAATTTCTGTATTGGAACTCAGTTTGTCTATTAATGATGACATCTTAATAAGTGGGCAGATATCTCATCACATTTTCAAAAAGGTTTTGTGGGCATGTGACTCACCCCTTCAAACACTTGAATTTAGTAGCCAATAACTTATCATACGACGTTCACTAACCGCAAGTTGTTCTCTACCTCTGTAAAAGATAAGCTCCCCTGTCTGGCCGCCTCCATGTGCATCTATCAGTTCACTTGCTCTTGTGGAGCAAGGTACATTGGCCGTAGTCAGAGGACGCTTTCCACACGCATACGAGAACATAATGCAATATGGTTTTACAAGGGAGAAAGGAAGTCTGTGCGAAGCTCTATTCTAGAACACCTGATCGACTTCTATCACTCCACCAACCCTGACAATGATTTTAAGATCATCCACCGAATCCGTGCTAACTTCCCGCGTTTTCTTCATTACAGACTTCTAAAGACAGCTGAGGCCTTGGCAATTCATGACTTAAAGCCAAATCTTTGTGAACAAAAGAAGTATGTACAATCCCTACTTCTGCCTTGGCCGTAGAGGGATAGACATTTATTCATTTTGTTTATTTTACTATTCTATGTACCTTCCCCTTATTACTACGATTATTATTATCATTATTATTACTATTCTCACTCTGGATCTTTTCCACTTCACCCACTTGTCATTCTAAACCCAAAATTATTGATTTTTCTTTTTTCTTTTTACAATATTGAATTCTATCTTATTAAATTTCATACCATGTTATGTAACATTTTATATTCGCCAACTAATCCTATAATTAGGTACCCCTTTCCAACATCTATACACCTTATGTATTATTCTATATATGACATTGATTGTTTTGCCACTTGACATTAAACTATGATTATAATCACAAATATTATAATTACACTTCATACTATTATTATTTCATGTATTCACACCTTTGACCTAATTCCCTCACCGGATATAATTTCTTAATATAAAACCATATCTATACGATTGATTGTACAGCTTGATAATAAATTCGTTGAAAAGAGTCTCTTCGCTGAATATTGTGTTTTTAATAACTTATCAGTTCAAACCCAGTTTCAACCACTCGGACCTGCGCAACCAGGTTGCATGCTCAACCCTCGTACACATGTACGTTTTTATTTCACATGGGTATATATCCAAAATGCATAGAACCTTCTAAAGAGATTATCTGTGTTACGATCACGGTGTAGGGATACATAAATCAAGTCAACATCCAGTTGTTCACTTACAGCTAAGCCATCGTATTTCACAAGGAGTTGCACACTTAAGAATAATTAAAATGAGGACACCGTGAAATATTTAACACATTATCATTAACTTACCATGACAATGGTTCATCTTGTTCTGACCATAAAAATCTTCCGTGTTCCCTTATGACATCAACATCTGTTTTATCTTTTGAACTATAAAAAACACCGAATTATATCCACCCTCCAACCAGAAATAGAGAATTTACGTGTCACGTTTGAAATCACTCCATGAGCCACCATAATATTGTAAATAATCATTGACTAACTTTTTATGACGATCAAACTATTGGGGTTCAAGTTAAGGATATTGCAAAAGAAGACACTTTTCTAATATATCAACAGTACATAAAACTTAGTAGTAATATGCAGTCTAAAAGTATCATGAGCAGAATGTTTAAAACAATTTGAGATCTACATCAAGTAACAAGAAACTAGCAACAAACCAACCAAGAGCCTACTGCTCAACAAATATGTAGAAGAAAATGGAGATGGACTGGGCTGGCTGGATTCAACACAGAACTTGGCACCGAAGTGCAGCAGTTCGAGTTGCCACGTTCCAAAGAGCACACAAAGGTAGACAAGAAAATGAGTGAAGAGAATCAATAGAGTTTTGACAGGTATAAGAGTGAAACAGAATGAGTAATGGTAGAAAGGAATATGAAAGATTACAGAGACTGAATACATCTGCGCCATCGACAACGATGGACCGGGCACACGTTGAGGAGGCCATCGAGTGACATTGTGCGCCGCTAAGGCCATCGCTCAAGTGGAATCCCGATGGGAAGCGACAAGTGGGTGATTCGTGCGAGAGTGACATGGAGAAGATAATGCGAAGAGGAGATGAGAGGTTATGGTCAATCGCGGACCCAGCTGAAGAGGGCAGAAAGAAGTGAAACGAAGTAGAGATGTGTTGTTGAAGCCTTATGTTTCACTCGGAACCCAAGGGAATAATAATAATCAAGATGTAAAGGACAACCTCTTAATGTAAAAAGTACCCATGATTCTGCTTAGAGATTATAGTTTTGTATGCCCTGTGGCTTTTTGATTTAAGGTTTTGGCAAAAAACCCACTAAATTTGAATTCATTAAACTTTCCCCAATTAAATATTACTATAAACTGCAGTATATTATGATTACGCTGACTGACTGGTTTCAACATAGAACTTTGTACTGATGTGCAGCAGTTCGAGTCGCCACTCTCCCTCCATGTAGCACAAAAACAAGGGAAGAAAGTAAACAGAAATGCAAAATAGTGACAGCAAACACAGATAAGAGGCAAACAGAATAGTAACATCGAAGAACAATATAGTTTCATTGGAAATTATAAGTCACGAGGAGTGGATGTATCTGCACCAGCCATTGAGAACAATTTTGAGCCATATCACCAATTTTCTCCAGCCATTGGTTTTTACCGTCCCGAGGACCCCAACCAGGAAGTCTACACCTTTCTGAATGACTGGCTAGCTTAAACTAACTAACTGTTGTGGATTTCATTGACTGATGAAGCCATGTTTCGGTGTGACCACCACTGGCTCTTTTCCAACCCGACCCTATGTCAGCTAACATTGCCCATTGTCGGGGAAGGCTATGGCTAGGCATACGTAACACATTTCCTAACCATTTCAATCAGTGTAACTTCACACCCTCGTCCATTGATTTCCTTCATTACCTAACACTCGCCGTCTAACCTCAATATTGCTTACCTTATAATTCCACTTCACACGGGAGATTGAACGCAGGCACCTATGATCAGAGATAGCCAGCCAGCCTTTTCATGTCTTTCACTCTCAATGGCCAGGTCTCACTCATATCCATAAAAGACGACGGAGCGGACTGCCGAGCGGTACACATGCCCTTTGGTCAACAGCCAACCGGATACCACGTCTACGCCAGAGACGGTGTAAACTGGAATATGCGAACCGAACCTCCTGTATTCGAGTTGAGACTTATGGGTACGACCTATACTGCAATAGACAAGTATGCAATAGGTTGTCTAATTACATTTATCTTTTGCCCAACAACCAACTCCGATATTTATTCGCTTAACAGCCTAAATGCGTCTCCATATTATCTTAGAAAATGACAGACAAACCCAAAGTATTTAAAGAATTTAAAACATCATGAACAAACAGGCTTCCTACATAAATTTAAGAAAACGCTTAATGTCTTAACTACAAAGAAAACTGCCACTTGAATTTATACATCTCGAAAAATTCAGAACTTCCAGTAACCAGAAGAACAGCAGAAAAGCAATGAGGACGTAACTAACCTAAATAAAATGAATACAACTGTAATCATACAAAGAGCATTTAAACTAACATTAGCACGTATTTCCTTAAATAAAATAGCAAACATCCTGTATGTCAACTAATATCTGGGCTAAATAAAAGCTTACAGATATACTTTATGTCCCTAAAGCTAAGTGATCGTCCTAATGAAGTGATGTTTATATAACCTCTTTTAGATGAAACACTAATTTTTGTCATTCGAACTCCACTTACTAACATGCTCAGCAGTCCGCTCCATCCCCATTTATGACTGTGAGACCTGGTCATTGAGAGTGGAAGACATGAAAAGATTAGCTGTTTTTGATCAGAGGTGCCTGAGTTCTATCTCCAGTGTGAAGTGGTATAATAGGGTGAGCAATATTGAGGTTAGGCATCGAGTGCTAGGTAAGGAAGCGAAGTCAACAGATGAGGTTGTGAAGCTACATCGACTGAGATGGTTAGGACATGTGTTGCGCATACCTAGCTATCACCTTCCTCGGTGGGCAATGTTAGCCAACAAAGAGTGAGATTGGAAAAGAGCTAATTGTGGTCAAACCAAAACATGGCTTCATCAGTCAATGAAATCCACAACAGTTAGTTTAAGCCAGTCATGTAGGAAGGTGTAGACTTCCTGACTGGTTGGGGTACTCGGGACGGTAGAAACCAATGAATGTTGGAGACAATTAGTGACATGGCTCAAACTCATCGTTGTCAATGGCTGGCGCAGATGCATCCACTCTTTGTGACTTATAATATCCAATAAAACTATTATTCTTCGTTATTACTATTCATTTTGTCTCATATCCTTGTTTACTGTCTCTATTTTGCATTTCTTCTACTTTCTTCTCTTGCTTGGTGTGCTGCATGGAGTGTGGCGACTTGAACTGCTGCACAACGGTGCAAAGTTCTATGTGGAAAACAGACAGACATATCAGCATATCGCGTAATCCGGACAGTTACTTAATCAGCATTCCTTATGTCTAGAAAAACCAGTCAATATGTGGTGGTTTATTATACTAACACTGCAAATATTACTGCTGTGTCATACACGGAGGCTAAATGTGATGACAACACAGACGCTGAAATAGTATTCGAAAATTCATAACTAGATATGTATATATCTACGTGCATAGAGTTAAGACTAGTGTTCAGAGTCAGAAACTGAGAACTGTTACATAAAATTTTTACATAACTTTCCTTTATCTCACTAATAGATAGCTAAAGGATTTTTAAAATTGATAGCAACATCACTACTAATTTATGCAAAATAATTTGAAGATCATGAAATGCAGGAATTCTTTTCTCCTGAGCAGTGAAAGTATCACGTAAAGGGTGTTCGCAAAACTTTCAAATTCACGACAACGAAAGACGAGTAGCCAAGAAGCAAGACTCAAGAAAAACGATTCTGGTTCAGTAGACTAAATCAATAAGTAACAACCATTTTAGAAGTATATGTGCCTCGGTGGCACAGCGGTAGAGTGCTCGCCGACCACGCAGGTGGTCCGGGTTTCGATCCCCAGCCGACGCACTCCCGAACCTCGCTAAGCCAGTAGTAAGACTGGTAAAGAGGGAAGGTTGGGAATGAGGTTAGCAATCCCATCCTGTAAAAATAATCACCACTGCTACAGAAACTTCAAGCCTCTAGCTTGAAGCCCTATGTTCCACTGTGAACGTAAAGGAACACAAAAAAATTTCACAAGTACATCGTAGAGTAAGATAGTCAACTTAGCTTCAAAGCTGCAAAACGATAAGTCCCACGTATATTAAATCTAAAATATGCTGGGAGATTTAGAGAGCGGGTTCTCTAAAGCTTACTTTCCGAATTACCTTGGGGCATCTGCTATACATCCTCTAATAAATGATTATCTTCGTTTGTAAGACAAATGCGATAATAACAAGGGGGAGTGAGTTGGCAAATTAAAATATAACAATGCTCGTAGATGGACACCTATGCAATTCTGAATAATCAATCGTACGCATCCAGAAATGAACTAAATGATGACAGGATTGAACAACACCCATCACGTTTGCATAAAATCAAACTCAGATACTTTTCTTCAGATGTGTCTAGATAACAGGTTTATAGGGAGATAATACACTTGCCAGTATGATACCAGAGATATGTGATAATGCTAGTGATGGAGATACATCTGAATCTCCAGTTTGTTTTGAACAATGCTGATGTGATTATATTTTACCACCTACTGTGATATATGCGTTTCAGGTACCTTATTAGCGGAAAATAAATTACTTTTAAAGAATATTCTGTCTATATGCCACATTATGGTTAATATAATATATTAGAGGGAAAAGAACAAGAAGTTCATCAAAGATATCTTTTCGACGATTTCATTCTCAAAATCTGTACAATCGCATTTATATACATTAGTTTACATGGATACATGGTAATCTTGTTCACACCTGTAATTCGTCCTATCCCTGTGTAATTTTTTGCTTCTAAGCCTCTTGTAATTCATATCAATTTGAAAATAATTATCACCTTTTATTCGCCTTTAAAACTATTATTTCTCCAGTTATCAAACATTAGTTTTGCAAACATTGTAACTGTTTTCTAATCCTATTCAATCTTGTCTCTAAGCCCCTTGTAATCGATGTTTGTACCTTGAAACTTTCATATCAACTAAAAAATTATTATCTCCTTCATTACTATGTGGAATTAATTACACATTAATGGTATCCATTTAAACTAATCTATATAAATGCGATTGTACAGCTGCTTTTAATAATGAAATCGCCGAAAAGATCAACATCTATGCCAAGCTTCTTGTTCTCTTCCCTCTAATGTCCGTTGGGTATTTTCCACGATTTGAAAATATAATATATGCAGCATATTTTCGTTTAAAATAGAGAATAAGAACCATAGCTGCCTTCAGTGACTTCGGCATAAAATTCACCACTGTATTTAAACAGTCAGAAACAACAGATGCAACTAACTCAGCGCTCAGTGAACAGCGCTGCACCATGGTAGACACTCATCTTTACTGATATCCTCTACGATTGATTATGAGCGTATAATCTGCGGCTCACCAGCCCAACTTCTAAGGCCTATAAAAATGGCGAGAATAAATGCATGTAGCATTTACACAAACACAGGTACAAAGTCTTTATCAAAGGATACAGCATTGAGATTCAATAGATGATGTCGAACAACAGAATTGTAGGCTCTGAAGAGATAAAATAATTACTATTGCTGCTATACCTTTTGTTTTCTGCATCCCAGACAGACTTTGCATTAGCATAAGCCGGAAACCTAGCTGTGGTAGGTTTTTCCCAAAGCTCCTTGTCCTTTGACGGAGGTATATCGGATCGGCTACCACAATTTTAGTGGACAATAGGCATTTTACAAAAACGCAAAAAGCAAACAACCTTATCTCACTATTCGTATCAAGATTACTGTTAGTTTCGGACTCATAATCCGAAACATAGTCTCTGGACTCGAACATCGCAGAAGTAGCGTCCACGGCAAAACATGCGGTTTCAGTCTTAAATGTCAAGCATGTAACAAACAAATATTAAATGCAAGTTGTGTAAATTTAAGTGAACATCATGAATGCCTATTCATTACTGAAGTGATTTCTTATTCAGCGTTCAGGTGGCCGTTATTTTTCTGATGCACAGTAGGAAGATTGCATTGTTGTTCTAGTGGTAGGTAATCCCCCAGAATTATTGGCCACAGCATTAATCATTGAAAATTGGATGCTGATCATCACTGTTTTAATCAATTTTTTAGCTGAAGGCTTCCGGTCAAGCATCTACGCCATTTGGCACGCCGTCATGTTACGTTCGTTCTTTCGTGCACGATCCCTAGTTAGTTGAGCAATCAACTCGCACTCCGATTTTGTCCCGAAATTTAACTCGTAATTTGAACGATCAATTCTGCTGTTTTGCTTTGCCTTTGGTTTGAGCGGAACGAATACTATAGAAGTTGTGGGTATTAGATCTTGCGTTAGTATAATTCGTACTATCCGTGAACGTCAACACCATATCCTCTAAACTGTCCTATTTAAACAATAAAATATGATCGAGACGAGCTAAAGAAAAGCAGCGGAAATGTGGGAGGTTAAAGGCCTTTGAGGCAATTAAATAGCAGTAAACAAACAACAAGCGACAAATTTGATGGACCCATTTATTAACGATGGCCTCTTGTTTCAACTTCGTATCACGAAGTACATCTCCCAGTTTTAGACTGCCACTCACTTCATAGAAGCTCTTCATAACTGCGCGATCATCTAACGAAAATTTGGAGCTGTCTTTTAGTACCTCAACAATTTTTCACGAAGTAGAGTGAATTCAAATTGGATCCGCAGTCGTTTTCCGAACAAATCCTTGAAGTATTATCGTTGCACTTTAGTCGAAATTAGCTCAGCGTATGTGGCCTACTCTTCATTCAATAAAATTCCCTGCCATTCTATTCATTTTAAAGTTATTCTGCAAGGTAGGATAGCAACAGTGATTATCCTCAAGATATGGTGGTACGCAAAGTCTTTAAATTCCAATAAATAGCTCTGATATGGAGGTTTCCAGTTATACACACGGTGAGCTTTACAAGCCCGCATACACTTGTCTAAAGCATGCTTTTGTATTTTTAGGTATTTGGAATACTCACGATAAGACAGGAATAAGGTATACAGCCTAATGGTCCAGCACGCTAGAGGTTGTATACTGGAAAATGCATTTTGGCATCGTTCTCATCCATCTTAGTCAGCCATATTGTATTGTCACTTGCTGTCTATTCGTTTACACAGTGGTTTTATATTTCTCCTTCAGCTATTTAAAAGTAATCTCAATGCGGATTGCTTGACTACTGTTGCGTTTTGCATCCCTCTGGTTTTCGTCACCGTTAAAATCAATTATTTGGTTTGTTTCAAAACTGATTATCCGGCATCCAAATACCACAAGCAAGGTGAGGATAGACGCTATTGCCCCTTTGATTCACCTCACTATCCCGCGTCATTCAATAATAATAATTTATTTTCATATGAACATAAATTTACATGAAATTGCATGCCATTTTTACAGGCACGATCAAGTATGATTTAATGACAAATAGTAGATTGTCTACAAGTTAATAATGTTTGAACAGCTAAATATTTGATATATATATAAATACACTCATTGTCTGACCCATGTCGTATCATCACTGAATTAAACAGTAGTCCTCCAGGTTGCGCAGGAAAATCGACTTCGTTTCGTTTTCAACCCGTAGTTGTAGGCATACGATAGCCAACTAATATTGAGGTAAGTACAACGTTTACAAGGGATAGTAAGATTATCACTTTTTTAAGAGTTCAAATTGTTGAATTATATAGTACAAGCAATCGGAACAGATTCTTATAATTGTTAATTTGTAAATCTTCCACGAAGGTTTCCATCGAAGTTGAGCGACAACCACGTGCTTGAACGCTATTTCAGGAAGATTGGGAAAATCCTGCACAGCTACAAAGTGGTATAAAATGTAATCATGAATAATACATTATTGGAAGTATATTTACAAGAAAAATACAAGAATAAGCTATACAGTACTTGATATGATAGTGCACATTTGCAATGTATGATGCTAACCATATTGGTCTTACCGTAGAAAACTATGACGTTTTCTATGAAAATAAAGTTATTCTCAAACATGAGTGCTGTTGTTATGTTTTTTTTTACCATCAGAGCAACCTAACTTTATGCGAGAGAAGAGTGTGAATGAGAAAAAAGAAAAGAGTGAATCTCAGCTTTACTAAAGGCCTAGGAAGGTGAGATAAAATAGAGTGTAATAGTAATTAGGTAGAAGGATTATCGTGAAGTATATAAGTGACATTTTAGAGAGAAGTGGCTAGAAGGATTAGAACCTGTTGAATATGGTGACCTTTAGGATGTCTGGCGAACTTGTGTATGGCCCATGGGATAGCATCTTGACAAGGAACTGAGCAGGCTTGTAGATGTTAGGAGCGTAAGCATTATTTTTTTACAAGCTAAAACTGCACAGTCATTATTGTTTTAGTTTGCTTTTTTTAAATTTTTTTATAAAGTAATTTTTTTATACTTTCAGTATCTAAACTCATGTTTAATTCTCGAGCTGCCAAAATAATGCATGTTGCTGTCCTACAGATCGGAGCGATTCACATTTGTGACCACTACCAAATCTGCTGATCAGCATGCGCCACCCTCCCTCCTTTTTTGACATTAAGCTCCGAGACCTTTTACAATGACTGCAGTTGTAATATTGGATTGCTTTGACCCCGTCCCAATCATACAGTATGCTGCACATTAACAGCTCTCATGACAAGTCCTTCCCATTAGGTCACATGGCACAGTAATACCAGAGGACGTTGTTAGCAGTATTATCATCATACTAGTGAACAAGTGGATTACTACAAAAGACTAGGAAATTAGGTTTCCCTTAAGAGTTATGAAGGATAAAAATAGCTAATATTGGAGCAACTAAGTTATATTCTATTTAGCAGTGATATGAGTAGTGGAACAATTAGTGATAAAGTTATGTAAAGTGGTCCTGAGTAAGGTAACTGGTTAGCAGAACTTGTTATGCTAAATTTTCACGACCGATTTTATATGGTGTGCGTTACACATTGCAAAGTGACTCATCAATTACATAATGGAAAAATACTACATAATTTCAACAATATGAATTTTTTGGAAAATTATATGAAAATGGGCAACTGTTGACCGAAGATAGTCATTTCAACTCAAAAATAGTACTACTAATATTAACAATATATTTGTAGCAGACGCCTAGGAAATTGTGTTTAAGAAGTATGAAGTATAGAAGTGTAACGAGAGAAGGCAAGAGTCAGGCAACAGATCATTTATTAAGGAAATCAACGCATATTTAAATATGTTTTCATGTGCATTACTATGGATATGTAAACAAACAAGCGCAGTCTTCCGATTGGTTGTTTCTCACGACAAATCTTGGGAACGTAAATTACTGTCTACCAATTTGGCTAGTAGACAACTCTCACCACAGAAGTGGCTAGTATTACAGCAACTAAGTTGAAGTCTATGTAGCAGAGTAAAAAGTGTAGTGGAACAATTAGTGATAAAATTATGTATAATGATCCTGAAGAAAACAGCCGGTTAACAGAGCTAGTTATGCTAAATTTTTATGACCGATTTTCATACGGTGCGCATTAGATATTGCAAAGTAACCCTTCAACTTATATAATGTTAAAAATACTGCGAAATATTATAAAGATTATACGTTTTAGGAAGGTATATGAGAAAAGGTGGTTATTGGCTGAGTAAAGTCACTCAGACACAAAAAGTTGCATTGTATTATTAACTGTATATACATATATAAAATATTAAAAGGTGTGGTTGCTAATATGGTTGTTTCTAGAAGTACTTATATTAACATAACTTATTGAAGTCTATACAGAAAGGAAAATCAGTAAATTAGTTAAACGTTCGCTGCGTAAGTAGTAGAGTCGAGTTATATGTAACTGACTGAGCTGAAGACTGGACTGGCCTTTACTTACCATTTTACCAACATTTGTGGTCTTTCAGACAAGCTACGGTGGACATGTTAATGTGTCTCTCTGGGCTCCGTTTGAACCCATCGGGGTTTTCACAATATCTAATTTCAGATGTTAGTTGGTTCCAAAGAGTGCAATATTTAATGGTGAAAAAGTTTGCCCTAGTGGATTTTCTGTAGGTAGCCACCTTGACAAGGTAGTTGTGGTTTCGCAGCTGATATGATTTAATATTTTCCCACGTTATGGATGAGTTACTATAATAGTGTTTTCTTATGACTTTGAATAGTAGAAATAAGTTGCACTTCACTCTCCTTAACCACAGAGGTTCTAAATTCAGACGCATACACCTGTCAACATATTCCACTTGTTGGTCAAACACTATTATGCGTTTCGTTAGGAATCTCTGAACACTTTCGATTTTTTTCGGTCTGCAGACCTTAGGTTACTATACAGGAGAGCACAATATTCAAGTTTGGGGCAGATACATGTTCTATATATAGCTAATCTTGCTTCTTGGGTGTAGAAGTTACGCAGCACAAAGCCAATAAGTCGTTTACAGTCGGATACAACCTTATTTGCATGATCGGAGAAGGCTAGATCTGAGTATGTTATCCCGAGATCTGTGGCAGTCTTCAGTTTCGAGAGGAGCTTACCGTACATATATAGGCACATTCTCGGTTTCCAGCGTCCAAGCTGGGCTATACCGCACTTGTCTGGGTTGAAAGTCAGTTACCACTTTTCGCTCCAATCGCCTAGATTGTTTAAGTCATGTTGGATTTTGCTTTCGACGCTCATATCATCGCACCCATAATCATATACTATCTTGAGATCATCTGCAAAGACGTATGGCTTGCCATACTTGATCCCAGAGACTATGTCATTTATAAATAGGAGGAACAGAATAGGCTAGAACTGCGGTGGTCAATTGAATGTTTGATAGAACATGGATAGCTGCTGCCATTTTTGATATATTGTGG